AAAAAAAAAAAAAAAAAAAAAAAAAAGAATAAAACAAGGACATGAGACAGATACTTGCTTGCTTTTTCTTCAAGTCTCTGAGTGCTGCAAGATCATCCGGGGAATCAGAAGGAACACTCGTGACCACACCAGTGCCTTACAGAAGAAAGAATGAAATTAACTAATACAACAAGAATGTGGTTAGTAAAGCATTCTAACAGCAAAGTCTGTACCTTTATCCTCCTTAATGGTGAGCATAGGGAGAACGTAGACCACCTTATAGCATGTCAGGGGTGCAGAAAGTGCAGCCCCAAGGATTTCCTGCATAAAAGAGGACCAAAAAGGTGAAGACATATAGCTGCAGTGACAAAAAGTTAAAATAAATACTCAAATTTTACGGTGAGGAGGCTACTACTAGAAACTAACTATACAGGAATAAACTCCTGAGAATTACATCTGCACAAGGCAGCTGCTGCAGTTAATGACATGGTATTACACTGATTTAAATGTTCTCACATCAAAAATGGGAAATCTGAGGTTCTATTTGTTAATTAGCTTTACTTAGTAATACTACCATGTGTACATATTTCAAAACATGCTGTTTACCATAGTGTGCACAATTTCTTCTGCTAAGTAAACAAGATACAGAAAAAGTAGCTGGACAGTGGTGGCGCACGCCTTTAATCTCAGCACTCGGGAGGCAGAGGCAGGCAGATCTCTGTTGAATATGAGCTCAGCCTGGTCTACAGAGTGAGTTCCAGAACAGCCAGGGCTCTACAGTGAATCCCTGTCTCATACAAACAAAAGTAAATAAATAAATAATAAAAGTAAATTCATCTATCTTATGATTATTTAAATTATTAAAAATAATCTTAAATGATTATACCAAAATTGACAATTATGATAGCAATCTTAGTATACTAACACACTGATTGTGACACTGTATTTCTTGAGAAAAACAGTATCAAGATCCATAGTAAGAGAAATGTCACAAATAGTCCATCAAGATGGCTCAGCAGGTAAAGGCACTTGCCACCAAGCCTGACAATCTTCATTAAATCCCTAGTAGGGAAGAAATAACTTCCAAAAGTTGTTCTCTACACATACTGCATTACACACCTTACCCACACATGTACACATACACAAAAGTAATCAACATAAAAAAAGAAGAAACCTACCAAACACTAAGTTACTTACACTAGTAAAACACTAAAGCAGCAGTTTTCAACCTTCCTGATGCTGTGACCCTTCCTCATGTAGTGGTGACCCCCCAAACCATACAATTATTTTGTTGTTACTTCCTAACTGTAATTTCGGATACTATTATTAACTGTAATTTAAATATCTGATATGCAGGATTTCTGATAATGCCTCTATGAAAGGCTCATTCAAACCCCCAAATGGGTCTCCACCCACAGGTTAATAGCCACTGCACTAAGGCCTTCAATGACTGAAAAACTAGGTGACAGAAAATGTCACATCAAGAAAACAGAATCCTACTTTATTAGTGTAAGCACATAGAGTTCTACCCATCTTTCTAAAATGACAGTTATGAATTCAAGTTGAAGTGAAAAAGATATTTCAATTGCCTTTAAAAAAAAAAATTAGAAAATGGCTGGGTGGTGATAGTGCACGCCTTTAGTCTCAGCACTCCGGGAGGCAGGAGCAGGTGGATTTCTGTGAGTTCGAAACCAGCCTGGTCTACAACAGCTAGTTCCAGGACAGCCTCCAAAGCCACAGAGAAACCCTGTCTCGAAAAACTAAAAAAGAAAAACAAAAAAGAATAGCAATTATCACAGGTGAAGTTGGAGCAGAGGCCCCTTTGGAGGGATGGGAATTCAGCATGGCAGAGCCTTCTGAAGAACCCTGACCGCTCTGTGACTTGCAAAATACAAATGCCCTGAACACATTATCTCATGTGTACTCTAATTATAAAGTTTTTTGATGCTTTTTCAAGCTCCACTGCTAATACTTCCCTCTAATTTTACAATGAAAATCGAGAATGTGCTCCCCAACTTACCTCGCCCATTAATTCCTTCACAACAGGCACCACTCCATTGTGCTTAGTGAAGCCTTGGTACGACATATTCCTGGCAGCTCTCTGGGTGCAGATGAATATATCACCATTTGCTGTCTCAAATCCAATATACTTCATATCAGGGTGAACCCAACAGTTTGTCTGTCCAAACATCGTCTCAGGTCTAAGGGTAGCAGCTACTAGGAAGATATTTTTCCCTTTCAGGCCACTAAGAAGAAAAAGCACATATTTATATTAAAAATGTGTCTTCCCTCATAATTATATGATTGCTCAGAAATGATCAATTAAGCCAGGCATAGTGGCAAGTGCAATCGCAGTACCTAGAAGGCTGAGGCAAGAGCACTAGGCTGCAAAGCAAAAGCCTGTCTCCAAGAAAGAAGAAAAAAAGGAAAGAGGAAAAGAAAAAAGACCATGAAACAGTAATTTTTAGCCATCTTACCTTAATTTTGATGGGTATGGTTCAAGCACCTTCAGTTTAACGAGGGTATATTCCTGCGGTCCAACACCCTAAACAAGTAAACAAGGGGAAAACATGGATTTACCCTACTAACCTATGAAGGAATCTGCTTCAAATCTCTGGCAGAATTCTTGCACATAGGAATAATTCTTCCTTCCAGTGAAGACAGTTAGACTGAGTAGCCATAATAAAGAGTATTACAGGGGGCTGGAGAGATGGCTCAGAGTTTAAGAGCACTAGCTGCTTTTCAGAGGTCCTGAGTTGAATCCCAGCAACCACATGATGACTCACAGCCATTTGTAATAAGCACACATGCCAGCTGAACACTATGCATAATAAATACATCTTTTAAATAAATAAATAAATAAATAAAAATAAAGAATATTTTGGTGACTACTCAGTGTCCCAGATAATCACCTCTCCAGTTTGCCTATCATGTTCCATACAAGGTTGTCCATCTTTTGGAGAATAAATGGTGTACCTTAAAAAAAAAAAAAATAATAAAGAAAGAAAGAAAGAAAAATCAGAGGCAAATACTGTTATATTATTCAAGTTACATTATAATGTATCCCTATCAAGTGTGAGTTATAACTAACACTTAACCAAGCCAGTGTCTAGATTACTCATTCTCTGATGAGTAGTTCTGAAAATGTAGTTATTAACATCTCCACCTTCATGAAAGGAAGCACTACTGAAAACTATTGATTAGCCTTAGCCTTGCAGTAATGAAACATAATCCTGTAAGATAAATTCACATAGGTGGGCAGTGGTGGCACACACCTTTAATCCCAGCACTTGGGAGGCAGAGGCAGGCAGAGTGGACAGCCTGGTCTACAGAATATATTCTAGGACAGCCAAGACTACACAATAAACCCTGTCTTGGAAGAAAAAAAAAGATAAATTTATCTTTTGCTTGTTTGTTTTTTCGAGACAGGGTTTCTCTGTGGCTTTGGAGGCTGTCCTGGAACTAGCTCTTGTAGACCAGGCTGGTCTCGCACTCATAGAGATCTTCCTGCCCCTGCCTCCCGAGTGCTGGGACTAAAGGCGTGCACCACCACCGCCCGGCGTAAAAAAAAGATAAATTCACATGTATGAAGTGTAAGTTGTTTTTACTCGACCTACATAATCAAGGAAGAATCTTAATAACTTACAGAAGTATAAGCTAAAACACAAAATAATTTTGTTCATGGCTTGCTAGGAATACTGAACAGAATCATCCCATTCTCTCTGGTTCTAGCTTGTCAACAACACAAAACAGCTCAAGAAAGTTAAGACACTGAGCAGCAAGGAACTGGGAATTCAGCTCAGTGACAAGACATCTGTCAAGGGGATGCAAGCCCTGAGTTCACCACAAAAATGAAACTAGAAAAATAAAATTGACAGGCAAGATTCAAGGAAAACAAGAGATACAACAGAACAAGATGAGAGTGATGAAAAAAAGAGAAAAGACAGACAGACAGACAGACAAATGGGTGGATGAACAGATAAAAGAGAATAAGAAAGGATGGGATACAAGGTACTGAATTGAGAATAAGAAAGGATGGGATACAAGGTACTGAATTGCAAGAATTATGATTTTTAGTTTATTATACTGAGACAAAACAAACTCACCGCTTCCCAAATTTAATTTTGTTTCTTTCTTTTAATGTCACAAACTGCCACCTGACAAAAGAATCATAGTAAGGGTTTACATCCGTGGTGATGAAGGAGCGCCGCCAGTCTACCTGCAGAAAGAAAAGGAAAAGGTACTTTTTATAAGTAAGGGATCCTGAGCCAACTGTTTACCTTGCTATTATTTATTCCAACTTAAAGTAGATCAACTACTAAAGAAAAAATTTCCAGTACCACATGTTAAATACATATAAAGCATTAAAATCATTTGTTTAATTAATAAGTTTTAAAATACAAGCACTTCCTGAGCAGTGGTGGCACACACCTTTAATCCCAGCACTCAGGAGACAGAGGCAAGTGGATGAGTCCAGCCTGGTCTGTAGAGAAAGTTCCAGGACAGCCAGGGCTACACAGAGAAACACTGTTTCAAAAAACAAAAAACAAAACAAAACAAATTCACTTACACATTAGCTAACATATAAGATTTACAATAAACTTAAAAGAAATACTTAAGTAATACAGTCAACATATTCAAGGTAAACTTTGATTGGTGTCTCATATTCTTTAAACAAAACCCCTTTCTATCAATTGTTAATAAATATATTCTGATAAGACAAATATTGAAGTTTTTCTTCCTCACATTGACTTCCACTAGTTGCCAGTCTAATAACACCCAAATTTTTGGTGACATTTGGCCAGAATATACTGTTGTAAATTTAAAAGTTGTTCCATAACTTTTTTTTTTTTTTTTTTTTTTTTTTTTTTTTTTTTTCAGTACTGTCCTGGAACTAGCTCTTGTAGACCAGGCTGGTCTCAAAGTCAGAGATCCACTTGCCTCTGCCTCCCAAGTGCTGGGACTAAAGGCATGCACCACCACCTCCCAGCTAAAAGTTGTTTCATACCTTTTTAAATGACACAAAAGTAAATAACTTTCCCTTGTCTTTAACACTGAAGGTGATAGCTTACCTTCAAACCTATTTTCTTCAGATCCTGAACAGCCAGGGGTGGGAAATAATCAAGCCAATGTTCTGCTTCAGAAAACTTCACTATGTCTTCATCAGAAAGCCCAAGGGATTTCATAATGTCCCACTGGTACTTAGAAGAACCTGCTTTGGCAGCAGCTTTACTCTGAAAACAATTAAACACAAATTCCATTAAAGCATAGCCAACAACTGTTCAGCACCCCAGGACAACAGTAATTTTAATTTCATAATCCTATTTGGTAATTCTGTTTCTTTATGAAACATGGTCTCACAGTGTAGCCCTAGCTGCCCTAAGACTCACTATGAAGACAGGCTCTCCCACAAGGGATCTGCTGCTCTGCCTCACATTGTTGCTATATCAGAACACCACAGCAAGTATGGACTACACAGTCAGGACGTCCACCAGGAAATGGACACAGTGACAAAATTAAGGAACAACTTAACCACCATCATGGCGATCTTATCACCACACTATTTCCTTTCTTCTGATAGCACACATGCCCTTCTTAGCTCAAAATAAAAATCACTTCATTTTAATCTATTATGAGAAAACATCAATTGACCCCAAATTGAAGGAATCTATTTAATCGTTGAAATTTTGGCCCCCACTGTAACCATAAGAAACTTAATTCCCCATGAAACAGCATTAAAGGTAGAATCTTGAAGAGGTTCTGCCCTCAAGAGTGGATCACTGCTGCACCACAGAAGACAAGTCCAGCTGCTCCTGAACATGTTACTTCCTCTCTCCCTTTGTGTCTCTTTCCTGTTCTATTACTATTTCTTTTCCCTTCCTTCACAGATAACACAGCATGAAATGTGTCATCAGGTACTGAACTCTCAACATAAGCCTTCCCAGCCTCAAGAACATTGGGCCAATAAATTTCTGGTCAGTATAAATCACCCACTCTGTGGTATTATCACTGCAACACAAAAACAGACATAATTTTTTTGACAGTCAATAAATTCTATATCTGAACAGTACTCTATCAAAAAATCATAGAACACAGTGTAGTGTAGATTCTAGATTGAGTCTTTTTTTAAAAAATTTATTCATTTTTATTTTATATATATTTTACCTGCATGTATGAATATGTACCACGTGCAGGTTTGGTGACTGCGGAAGTCAGAAGGCATTAGATCCCCTCCAACTCTGAATTGTGGACCGCTATAAACTACCACATATGTGTGTGGATGTTGGGAATCATACCTGGGTCTCTGCAAGAGCAACAAGTGCTCTTAAACTGCTGAGCCATCTCTCCAGCCCCTACACATCCCACATCCCCTGACTGGATCTTAAAGCAGAGAAAAGATATTAGGAGAAGGATGGGTAAAACTTCAAAACAAGGTCATCAAGAGGACTTAGTCAACATGGGTGCTTGTATACAGACCTGATAGCCTGAGTTCTATCCCTAGATCCTACAGGATGGCAGGCAAGAACCTACTCCAGAGTTGTCTTCTGACCTCCATAAGCATGCACCTACTGCTACGCTTGCTCCTGACCACCCCACCTCACCCACACACACACACACAGACACAATTTCCAATTCAAATAAGGAGGCTAGAGAGATAGCTCAGCAATTAGGAGTGCATACTGCTGTTTCAGAGTACACATATTCACTTCCCAGCAACCACATCAGGCTGCTCACAACTGCCTGTAACTCCAGTTCCAGGGGATCCAACACTCTCTAGACTCTGTTGTAAGTACCTGCACATAACAAACCCACACAAAGACACATACATACACACATAATTAAAAATAAAACTTTTAAAACGTAAAGTCCTCTTTTTAAAAAATTTCAGATGAACTCTACAGTTTAGTACACAGCACAGAACTAATAATGTTAACTGCTTAGGTAGGATGACTATATCATAGTTACAGAAGAGTAACATTAGGAGAGGAAGGCGAAGGTTATGCTGGAATGCTGTACTATCTTGAAACTCCTTTAAATCTAAAATATATCAAATTAAAGTGAAAAAACAACAATAATCCAGACAACATTTGATTTCATGAAATTTTTTTTTAATGTATATGGGTATTTTGACTGCATGTATGTCTATGTACCATGTGCATGTAGGTACCCAAAGAGGCAAGAAGAGGGAATCAGATACCCTGGGACTAGAGTTACAGACAGTAATGAACCACCATGTAGATACTAGGAATGGACATGGGTTAACAGTGCTGTTAACCGATGATCCATCCCTCCAACTGATCTGATGTACTTTCACCTTTGTGGGTATATACATGGTGAATGTTACGTGTGCATGCCCATCAGATTCTATGGTGCACAAATAGAGGTCAGGACGACCTCTGATAGCATTTCTCAACTTCCAGCTTGTTTGAGACAGAGTCTCTGTTGTTTGACACTGTGCTCCAGACTATCTAGCCTACAACCTTCTGGGGATTTTTCTCTCTCTACCTCCCATCTCATCAATGGAGTGCTGGGATTTGGAGATGTGTGCTTACCCAGAAAGCTCCTTACCCACTGAACCATCTAAATAGCCTTGATTTGATAGTTTCTTAAAATTACCTAGTACATTTCATGTGACAGGCACCTGCCAGTGTTGGGTATGCACAAATATCCAGAGAGGTGAAAACTTTAGGCCTGACAACTGAAACATAAGTAACCACCAGACCTTTTTTCCTTTGGCTTTATCCTTCATTATCAAATCTCCAGGTTTGACACTGCTTTGTTCCTCTTCCTCTTCTTCCTCTGGAAAATCAGGAGGGCAGCCATACAGCTCTATTTCTCTTTTCAGCTTGTCAGCACATGCCTACAGCACAACAACAGAGAGTGCCAAGTTCAGAACTCGGGGGAATAAAGCTGTTTCCAAGGCCAACTAAAATCTACTTTCTGACATTGTGTGCAACGTCTACACATATATATTTTATACATATCACTATAGAAAGCTCAAATGATGCATATCACATGCCTCAAAATCCTATAATGTAGTTTATATTTTATTACTTGTCTACAGTACTCAGTGTAGCATTCTGATACACTAAACAGAAGATAAATGATAAGATCCATAAAACATAGTATGTCATTTTGGGTAACAATATTAATGGTTTCTCATTTTAAAGATCATCTTTGTAGTGGAAGGTAAATTCTTACCCTCTATTAGTAATCAACACTCCTACCAGGTAGACAGGACAAATATTAAATTAGAAAACATACTGACATGAAGTGATTTATCCAAGTCTAAGCTGGGCTTTCTTCCACAGCTCTTCCCAGCTATACTATGAGTTCACTCCCCAAAACAGAGGAAACATCAAAGAAGAGTTTCAGTTAATAAGTAAGATACAATTAGAAGGGGACTACTGGCACACACAGCTGTTCTGGAGGCTGAGGCAGAGGGATTAAAAGCTCAAGATCATTCTGGGTAATTTAACAAGACTATCGCAAAATAAAAATTAAATAAAAATACATACATAATTCAAGTTTAGAGAGACTATTTACCTAGTAAAGCAAAGCCCCGCCTCTGCCTCATAGCCCACTACTGAAAGGGAAGAAAGTCACCACCATTTGGTTTAAAGATGTGATCCAATGTTAAGAGCACTTGGCTACCATGTGTAAGATCCTGGGTTCAATTTCCAATGCCACATACACAAAAGTCATCATTTTGCAACCACAAATACAGTAATTAAAATAAGCCAGTATTATCAAAAGATGCTAAAACCACTAGACTACTGAATAATAGGCCATTCAGAGGTTCTCAATAATGTCCCCATAGGCTACTTTCTAAAAACTAAAGTCACCCTTAGAATGAGGAACTCGATCATGTATTAACTTAATGTTACTAAAATGGGACAAGCTATCATTGTATGCTGTTTGATGTGTCACAATGGGAAGTTTATACCTTATCAATACAGTATTCTTTTCCAAGTATCTAAATCCAAACATTCATTAACATCATGACAAACAACTAAAAGGTCAGAAAATGTAAAAATGTAAAAATCTTGAGATAATCAAGGAAATTTAACTACAGAGAAGACCAAGGTGCTAATATCACATAATGTGACTGCAGTGATGCACAGTATGCCCTTGCTCTCCAGAGATGATTGATAAAAGACAAATGCATGCTATAGAGGAAAGAAAGATGCATGCTACAAAAAACATGAAGACTACAAGAGAGAGATGCATACTGCAAAAGCAAGATGAATGCTACAAAAGAGATGCACACTACAAAAGAGACATACATTATAAAAGAGATGCACTCTATATATAGAGATGCACACTAAAATATTCATGGAGATAGCAAGACATCTGCAAGTCAGTTTCAAAAACTACACTGAATAACTACAAGAAAGGAATGAGTGCCTAGGTGTGAGCTGACAGAGCTAAGCAAAGGCAACAGACTACAACAGAATGTATTACTTATTCCCTGTACCATCCTTTCATCTCTTCTGCAAGTCTGACACCTGCCCAAACAACAGGATGGAAAACAAGAAGTTCCTAGGCTGGGGGTGCAAGCTTAGGCATTACAGTGCTCACCTCATCCATAGGTGTCCTAGGATCTAGCCCCACATCATACACACCAAGCATGATGGCACAGCCTGTATTTCCAAAACTTACATGGTAGAGGCAGGTCATCCTTGGCTACACAGCAAGTTCAAGGACAGCCTGGGCTACATGAGACCTTCATCCTTTTTTAGGGGGGAATGGGGATGTTAAGAAAGGGTTTCCCAGTAGCTAGGGAGCCTGTCCTGGAACTTGCTCTGTAGACCAGGCTGGCCTCAAACTCAGAGATCTGCCTATCTCTGCCTCCTGTATACCTAGATTAGAATCTTTTCAATGGTAGTTTTCTGATCCACTCTTCATAGACAACTACTTCTAAAATAAGCTTTTATTTTGTTTTGTTTTTGAAAAAGGGTCTTACACATAGAACAAAGCCCAAGTACCTGGGACCCCAGTCCTAGCTCAAGCTATACTTGCCAAGTAAAGGATCCGAACAGATAATTAACCCATGTGCTCTGTGGTTCCTTCACTGGTTAAAAGTAGCTCATGTCGGGCGTTGGTGGCCCACACCTTTAACCCCAGCACTTGGGAGGCAGAGGCATTCGGATCTCTGTGAGTTCGAGGCCAGCCTAGAAACTCTGACTCGAAAAACCAAAAAAAAAAGAAAAGAAAGGGTCTCATTATATAGATCTAGCTGGCCTAGAACTCACTATGTAGACAAGTAATGTAGACAAGTAAACCAGGCTGGCTGCAAACTGATTTGCTGACATTTGCCTCCTGAGTATTGGGATTGTTTTGCTTTTTTACACATATTCTCACTATCTAGACTTGGCTGGCATGGAACTCACTATATAGATCAGGCTGGCCTCAAATTCACAGATAACCTGCATCTGCCTCTCAATTCCCAGTAACCACATGATGGCTCACAACCATCTGTAATGCCTTCTTCTGGCAGCAGGCATACATGCAGATAGAGCACTCATACCTAAAAAAATAAATAAGTAAATTTTTAAAAAATTAAGAAAAAGAAAAGAGTAGAAGCCAATCCTCTAAGTAATCTTACCTTAATTGGCATACCGGTACAGTGTAACCCAAAAGGAAACAGACAAATTTTTCCTTTTAATCTCTGGTATCCTACTGCAAACTACAGGAAGAAAATCACATTTAAATTATAAATATAAATGGTATATTCAAACAAAATGCTAACTTTGACAGCACTAATTTCCCTCTTTACAGCTTTAGAACAGATATTTTGTCATTGCAAAATTCTACTCCATTATCTTTTTCTGTTGTTTTTCACCAACACTGAAATTTTGAACATACTCATGTCCAGAACCCTGAACAAATAGGCACATGGCATAAAAACAAAAGCATGAAAATTAAACTATAAAAATTATTCTTTAAAAGCAAGAATTTGGGGGACTGGAGAGATGGCTCAGAGGTTAACAGCACTTACTGCTTTTTTCAGAGGACCTGGGTAGAATTCCCAGCACCCACATGGCAGCTCACAACTGTCTGTAATTCCAGGATCCAACATCCTCAGACAGACATACATGTAGGCAAAACACCAATGCACACAAAATCAAACTCAAAGTAGATAAATTATTTTTTAAGTAAGAATTTGAATTCCCTTATTAAAAAATGAATTTTATACATGCAGTTTTATTTAAACTGGTATTTATTATAGACCCTCCATACCCTACCATAGTAAACACAAGAGCTTTACCTCACACTTGGATAGGGAAAACGTGTGTCCCAAATGAAGGCGTCCATTCATGTATGGATATGGGAAGGTAACAAAGTATTTGTCCTTGCTGAAAATAATCATGTGAAAAGGAAAGTACAAAAAAGAAAATGTTAAATTTCTTTCACAATAAACAATGGGATGGAAAGGCTGCCTGGTCATGTAAATACTCTCTTTAAAGTCTAGTTTTTTAAGGAGCTGAAGAGATGGCTCCGTATTTAACAGCACTTGCTGCTTGAGTAAGATAAGCCACATGACAGCTCGCAATCATCTGTAACTGTTCCAGGGGATCAAACGCCCTCTTCTGAACTCTGCAGGCACTGCATTCGCTGATATACTTAATGCAGGCAAAACAACTCATACACATAATACAAAAATAAAACATTTTTAAAAACAAAATAAAGTTTAGTATTTAAAAGATAACAAGTTTGGGTGGGACACAGTGGCACATGCCTTTAACCCACCACTCAGGATCTAAAAGCAGGTGGATGTCTGTGAATTTGAGCTGAGTGTTGTTCATACAGAAAGTCTAGGTTGGAGAGATGGCTCAGAGGTTAAGAGCACTCACTGGCTGTTCTTCCAGAGGTCCTAAGTTCAATTCCTAGCAACCACATGGTAGCTCACAGCTCTCTATAATGGATCTGATGCCTTCTCCTGGTGTGCAGGCAGAACACTGTATACATAGTAAATAAACTGTGGTGATATTTTGTTTGTGTTCTA